TTTTCTTGTAATATGTTCAATTCGTCATTCGGGAGTCGTTTAAAGCCAAGCAGGGTGGGCTTTAATTCTGATTGGTCATTCACCAAATGTATCGTCATATATACACTGCATATACAGTATCATCTGACTTTAAACGAATTGGCAACCATGAAAACGAATTGTCAAACGAAGCTGATTACATATTCAGAAACTATACCTTTTACTTAACATATGGTAAAAATAACCCAGAAAATGGAGAAATAATCCAGAAGTTAGTGAGGGGGTGCACCTTTTGCTTCATAGGTAAAGTTATACATGGGTGGCGAAATTATGGATTATTTATGCAGACGGTCCGGCGAAATTTTTTTAGTATTTTCGCCATTGCATTTCAAAATGGCGAAAGGCGAAATTATTTTTGCCTGCCGAAATTATTTTTGTCTATCGATATTAGTTTCGTTTACCGTAATTATTTTCGCCTGCCGAAATTATTTTTATCTGTCGAAATTATTTTTGTTTGTCATAATTATTTTCACCTGCAGAAATTATTTTCGCGTGTCGAAATTATTTTCGCTTGCCATAATTATTTTCGCCTGTCAAAATTATTTTCTTTGCTGTAATTATTTTCACATGCTGAAATTATTTTTACCTATCGAAATTATATTTACTTGCTATAATTATTTTTGCCTGTCGAAATTATTTTCGTTTGCTGTAATTATTTTCACCTGCTGAAGTTATTTTCCCCTGCCAAAATTATTTTCCTCTGCCAAAATTATTTTCCTCTGCCAAAATTATTTTCACCTGCTGAAATTACTTTCACCTGTTGAAATCATTTTCGCCTACTGAAATTATTATAGGCTGTCAAAATCATTATAGCTGTTATTATTATTATAAGCTGCCCGATATTAATATAAGCTATTAAAATTGTTATGGCTTTCATTATTATTACAGGCTGCTGATATTAATATAGAATAGCATTATTTTAAGCTGTCAATATTATAGCATAAAATTAATATTAACAGGCTTCAGTCTGTTAAAATGCTTCCTTCTATTGTTTTAAGATCAGTAAATTAGAAATTTTATAGTGCTGGAAGTTTATGCCCAACAATTATGCAAAATGTTTCATTTTGAAGACTAATAAAATTAATATATTTCGACATACTATATAGCCAAAACTGTATTTTTAAACACTAAAACTTTTTACAGACAAATTTTTTTAAAAACTAATAACTTTATAAACCGAACTCGGCTCTAAAAAGTTATCAGTCAGTTTTTTAAAAAAAAATTGTAAAAAGTTTTATATCAGTTTGAAAAAAGTCAATCTTCAAATTAGGAACCTTTATAGAAGAGTTTAAAAAATAATACAGTAATATCTCTCTGAATGCACCCTCTCTAAGTGAACACCCTCTTTAAATGCACACTATAGCTTGGGACTCAATGCTAAGTGCACCCACTACTCTCTGCACGTGTATAAGTTTTTACAGCCTGGACTTATGTATGTACCTTCTATAAATGTACCCATGTGACTAAAATGAAAGGTTGACCAATTAAATCATAAGCCTTGTCAGGAGTACAATGAAAAATTCTAATTCTATAAACTAGGCATTTGAGTTGCTTAAAGGAAGTTAGAGATGAGTATACTATGGGTGTTCTCAAGCATCAACCTTGATACAAATTCATAGTGATAGGAATAGTGCACAATTATTATTATGTAATTTTAGTTATTGTTATAACATTCTGGATAAAAGTCAATAATATAAATGACGATATTATTGAGATATGCTCAAGCATTACTTTTCAAATAATTGTAGCTATGTTCGATTGCAACAATAGATTAAAATAAAGATCTCAATCACTACTTGAGATGATTCTAATAATTTATTAGAAGTTTTACAAAAAATATGTGTCGATTATGATAATCTATAATGAAAAGTGTGAAAACACCTGAATTACTTTGTTCATTTTAATATTTATAAATATTTGATAAGTCAGCACAGAAAAAAAGGTGGTTCTGAGAAAAGGTTGGTTGACTAAAATGGTAAACTCATTGTTCATTTTTTACTATATAAAATTTTTCTTTCATATAATAAACTACCTTACTTATCTTAATGACAATCTCGATCGATTAATTAAAAATACTTTCTGTTAATTAAAATTTAAATCCCGATACCTTTTCTACTTTAACTCATTAATTGAAGCACTTGAGAATGCTCTATATCTAATAATATATTATGCAGTACAAGGATCTTATGTTGTTCATGGCTATAATAGAAATGCAAAGATCTCATATTCTGATTAGACTCTATGATTGCCGCAAGCAGGCCTACCGAAAAAATAATTGCGGGGGCAATTAATTGCAATTTTTCGAACACAATTAATTGATTGGTGGCGCAGCCACAATTAGTCAATTAATTGCAATTTTTACGTAATTTGCCTATATATATATTCGCTGATAAAATTTATTAATTTAATGCGTCAAACTTGAGTAATGTAATATATTTGAGTTAAATAAATTATTAATTAAATTCATAGTACATAAAATAGTATAAAGCTTTCAAAGTAGTGTGTTTATTTTTTTATTTTTACGTTGGCTTTAATGACTACAAAAATTTCAAATAAGTTTTATGTTGAGGCCTTTTTTAAACCCACAAATGATAGTAAACACCAATGTAATTTGTGTCCTCCTGGATCACAAACAATATCCCCAAAAAAAGGAAGTGGCTATACGAATTTAATGAATCATTTATGTGTAAAGCATGAAAATTTTAGGTTGATTTATCAACAGTGTATAGAATCTACTTCTATGGCAAATGCTGATATTTTTAATTATAGCACAAGTGTGTATAATATTTTCAATTGGATAAGTCTAATTGTAAAATGTCAATTACCTTTCAGTGCCTGTGAAAATCCAGATTTTGTTGCATATACAAGTCTTTCAAGATTGGATGTTGCTACAGTTAGCAAATATTTTAATAGCTTGGCAGATATTGTACAAAAAAGAATAAAAAATATATTACCACAAAAGATTGGAATTATGTTTAACAGGTGGACAAATAATGGGATTCACTTTGTTAGGTTATTTGGTATTTATCAAACAGTTCACAAACCCAGAAATTTAGTTTTACTTGCATTTTCTCCATTTGAAGACCATAGTACTCAGAGTGCAAATGCACATATTAAGTTTTTTGAAGATGTTTTAGAATTATATGATAAAAGTGTTGAAGATACAGTATACCCTGTCAAATCTGATATCTTTGGTAGACAAAATTTGTATTAGTTTTAAGAGGTTATCAGATTTAAAAGGATATAGGTTTCGATGAATGCCTGGTGTCACATAATTTAGCAAAAGGTGATTGGCCAATCAACTCAACTAATATTAAAATATATGGTATATATATATTTAAATCCTGACCATAAATATTTAAAAAATTTATTCTAACCAAAGAGCTCTATATAGCGGGTCTTCCAGTTATTCTGCCGTCAAAGGCTGATTTCTGGTAAGCATAAACTAGAAAGCTTTTCAATAGTCAGCAAGACTTCTGGCTTTTTAGTAAAACATGATATCAAACAAAAATAGTTGTACATGTACTTATAATACAAAACTGATCAGCAAACCCGAAATCCGGCTTCTCTTATACACTTTATTACTTAGTCAAATTTGTGCTACACATATAAATATTTATACCATATCAATATCATTCAAAAGTTGCTAATAAGAATATTTTATTGATCCTCATAATATTCTTCACGAATAATGATAATGATTTGGTTAATTGGATGTTTCTCTATTGAAATTGGACATGTATCTAATTTCAATTAAAAATATGTCTACTTAGCCCAATTGACAACACTGACTACACACACACATAATATATTGATCCTACTATTTTGTCACACTTTAAGTAAAAAAAAAATCAAAAAAATCAAATGAAAATAAAAAAAATCAAATGAAAATAAACTGTATATGGTCTAGCCAATGCTTTGAAACCAGTTAGGATCAAGTTGAGTCTTAGCTCTAAGTCATGGTCATGGATATAAACCATGGTAATTTATAAGTTCTGGTGGTAAGTTACTAAAATAGTAAGTTACCAATAAAATATCATAAGTTATCATGCTAACTTACCATGGAAATAATCTTGTCGTGGTTCAAGTAATGGTTCTGGATAAACCCAATTAGCTTCAAGTCATGGCTTTGCAGCATAAAATTGAGCGAATAATGTCTATAATTAAAACTGTAACCTTAAAGATGAATAAAACGTTTAATAATTTCTAGTGAAATGCTTGGCAATAAGAATGCATTTTAGATTAGATATGATAACAGCCATCAATATTGTAAATAAGTGTAAAAAGCTATATAAAATGCAAAAAAAAAAAAAAAAAACACTCGTCCTTTATAAAGAGTTTCTCCATTTAATTTTGATCCCACTTAAATTGTACATTCGAGTAGAAATTTTTTGATTTTAGGACTTCAATATCTATAAAAATAATGAAAACTAAAAACCCTTCAGCTAGAAATTTGTGCAATAAACAACATAAAGTGTTATGTGAACATCACCAAATAAATCCATCACTCACTCAAAAAGAACTTGCTGAGTGGGCCAAAAAAGAATTTAACCTTATTAAAGCCCCGGCAAAAAGTACAATCTCAGATATTCTGAGAAAAAAAGATGATTTTAGTAAAATGTCTTTAAGTGATCTCTCAATTAAAAAATGCCATGTTATTATGTTTCCTGAATTAGATAATATATTAGCAAATTGGATTTTACAGTGTAAGCATCGGAGTACGCCTAAGTGGTGACATAATTAAGGCTAAGGGTAAAAAGTTTGCAGAGTTATTAAATATTCCTGAGAAAAACCAACCAAAGTTTTCAAATAGTTAGTTATATTCTTTTCAAGAAAGACATAATTTTAATAAAATTAGATTGTTTGGTGAAAGTAGTTCTGCTGATATTGTTGCCATTAACTTGAGTCTTCCACATATTATTTGTACTACTGATCATTATTCTCTGTGTAATATTTACAACATGGATGAGACAGGTTTGTTTTACTCTATGACACCTGATCATACAATCATGTCCTGTCAAGTTGAAGAGTCAAAAAAAGACAAGGTAAGAATTACAATTGCACTTACATCCAATGCTGATGGTACACATAAGCTTCCTCCTTTTTTTATTAGATGCGCAAAAAAACTGAGATGCTTTAAAAAAAAATCTGAAGAAGAGCTTGGATTTTACTATCACAATAATAAAAAAGTGTGGATGATAGCTGTATTTTTTCAGGAATAGGTAAAAAAGTTAGATGTGCAAATAAATGGATCAAATCACCATATTCTTCTTATTCTTGACAATGCCACTTCACATGCTATTGGTACACTTTCCTTGACCAACGTAGAAATACTTTTCCTGCCAAAAAACACAACATCAAAAATCCAGCCCATAGACACTGTGATTATCACATCCTTCAAACTTCGTTATGGCCATCTACAACTTCAACATGCAATAGATCGCAATGAAGCTGGAGAAAATGATATTTATAAAGTTGACCAGTTGCAAGGCATGAGGTGGGCAAAAATTGCCTGGAATGAAGTAACTGTTGAGATGATTAAAAATTGCTGAGCCTATACAAAAATTATATTATCTCAAGATGAATCCGGAATGCCTATTATCTCTAAAAGTGGAAATGTAAGAATGGAAGAAAATTTAGTAGAAGAAAATGTTGAATGTGTAGAAAAAAACTTAAATAAAGAGTTAATTGATGATCTTTAGCGCCAAATGGTTGTACTATATGTTCATACTCCAATATCAGTCAAAAATTAGTTAAATCCTGAAGGTAAAGAGGATGTGCGTCAACAATTTAAGACGATGACTTCATCCAAGGTGCAATTGAAGTAGAACAAGGGGAAGAGGAAGAAGTTGTAGAACTATCTCTAACCTCAAAAGAAAAATTAGCCATCTTGCGTGAAGCCCTAAAAATTGTGGTTAAAATGGTTAATGATAATGAAATAATAATGAAATCTTTGCTTAAGATACAAACCCGCATCCGTGAGGAAGTTCAAAGAGAAAAGAATGAAAAGCAGGTCCAATGTAAACTGAATCAATTCTTTTTTAAGGTGCGTGATTATAGTTATTGAGAATAAATTGGCCATTCTTATTTTATTTTCTACATTAATGAGAAATGGTTACTTCATAAGATGAAAGCAAAACTAATGAATTTAACAAACATATAGAATATGGAATAGACTGTGAAAAGAAGTTTAAAATGTGAAACACTTGGGATCTTGTTTGTGGTCTTGCTCCACGATTATAAAACTGATCTGTGAATTTTTTTTTTTTATAAGAAGCTATCTAAATTAAAAATAATTTACGCTGTTATTAATAAAATAAATTCTAAGAATTACAAGCATAACATTCGAAACGGCAGAAGTTTTTTATTTTATTTCTGCTTCTTGTATCGGTATTTGATAATCAGTAACCTTTTCTGTAAAGGTGTTGTTTTTGATGCATTAATAAGTGAATTTCTATGATCATATCAAAAATGATATCTTCTTGCACATTACCATTATACAAAACTCCTGTGCTGTAAACCTAATATCTTGTTATTTTGAATATTTGTTATCAGAAATAGCAGGTTATCAGGTTTGGCTTATGGAACAAGCATGGTGGATTGATTTTTTATCAGATATAACAGGTTATCAGTTTTAATAGGATTGGTTTTGACAGAGTATACTGTAATTAATTATATTTTTATACAAGTGTGATGATTTAGTAAAGTAGTAAAGTTATCGCATCTCCAAGCTAGCTTAACTATAGTACCAAGTTCAAATTTTATTAATGATATTTTAGACAAAATTACCTGTGTTATAGTAATAGATCTTTCAAATTAGATTGGATTTATAACCTGTTACTGAAGTTATATCAATACCTTTAGGTACTGGAAATTTCTGAAAGCATTTGTATTATTGTACAAAGAAATGCAAACTAGTATAAGCAGTACAAATTTACAATAAGTTTTTTAAGAAACAAAAAATATTAAAAGTATCTATACACAAAACCTAGAGATTCAAAACCAGCTTGGAAAACTTCAAGTTTTGCAGAAATCCTAAATAAAGATTAGCAGCTTTTAACTGTACTATAGAAGCAGTTTAAAAATAAGAATTCAGGTAATAAAGATCTTTAAAAAGATTTACCAACTAGGCCACCAGAGTTACTAGAGCTGCACTAAATATATATTTATTGATTATTTTGGTATTGGGTATCTAGTAGAAAATTCTAAAATAAGATTTTAGAAAAAAAAACTTGTATTACAAAAGCTTGTACCAAGAATCAGAAGAACTTCAAACATGAAATTGAAATCCTTAGGTCTAGGTAAATCAATCTTTCTAAATTGAAGACTAAAGACCAAAGTATAGAGTATAAATATAAGTACTAAGGTTGTAAACCTTATAAAAGATAAGAAGTAAGTAATAGGAAAACTAATTAGAAAGGTTGTACTTAATATATAGATTGTATTATGACAATACTTCAAAAGGTGGCATGAGATACAAACACAATAGCAATAAACAATAGACAATATATACTAATTAGAATAAATATTATTGAATGAGCATATACTGTATATAGAACATAATATGTGATATCAAGTTTATCTTGAAGATAAGCTAAAAGAAGTCTTAAGATAGATGCTAAAAGCTAAAAATATTGCAAATCTATATATGAATAGTGAGTTATACCTGGGTTAGATATAAGGGCTTTGGGTTATAACTAGAAAGTTTAAATAGATAACTCCATAGTTGAGTTGCAAATAGTATAAAACTTTTAGACAAACTACTTAAATTAGGCATCAAAAGTGCATATGTAGATAGTTGTACTTTTATTATAATTGTAATAAGTTTTAAATACTTAATAAAAACAGTTTCTGGCCAAAAAAATTATCTTAATAGTAAAAAAAAAAAAAATTATATTTTTATACTTTAAATAAATTTGGTTTATATAAGAAAGTAGTAATCTAGTATAGTTGGTTAGTTGTTATTCCCAAGCTTCTTGTAAATAAAAATACAAAGTTTAAATTCTATTAATAATATTTTAAATAATTATTATCTTGTATTATAGCAAGAAAACAAACAAAAATTAGCTAATTTTCTAGAAAAAGATCTAAAGTAGAATAAATAATATAAGGTTTTAGGTAGGGTAAAGAGTATAGTAAAATTTTGGAACATGTTTTTAAACTGAATCATATCTTTTTTATTATATCTTATAGTATGCTTTTAGATATATAAATTTTTAATATATATATAAATACAATACTTAAAATTTTTTACAAATTAAAAAAATGTTTTAAAATAAATTCTTTTAATATAAAACTAGTGCTTGGCACAATTAAACAAAAATTTGACAGTCAAATACTTGTTAATACTTGTAATTAAGTCAAATATTAAATAAATGTAGATTGACCAATAGTCTATATTTAGCTTTGGTTAATCTGCAACCATTTAATATCCAATTTAAATATAAGTATTAACAAGTATTTAACTATCAAATTTTTGTTTGATTGTACCGAGCACTATATAAAACATAACAATAAATATTTTAAAAATAATTATATAAAAACTATCTTTAAATAATAGATATTAGTTTATAGTTTTTGTTAATTTTATATTCCTTTTTTAATATAGTTTATTGTTTTTGTTAAAAATTTTTGTTTAAAAAATTTGGTTCAAGAGATTATTAAAAAGAGTTAAATAATTAAATTTAAATATATATTATATTTATAAATTAATATAATTATATTTAATTTGTTATACAAATAGGGCTTTTTTGTATTATTGTTTTTTTTTTTGATATTAAAATAGCTTCTTTAGTCTAAAAACTTTTTATTAATACAATATATGCTTATACAATTATAATAAAACTATATCAAGCTATATATACACTTTTGATATCTAATTTAAGTCATTCATTTAAAGGTTCTATACTATCTGCCATACCTGTACTCTGACTATAGAGTATCTATTTAAACTTTTTGGTTACAACTACTATTTATTACAACTTAACTCTAGATATTATTTATTATTTATATATGGGTTTTGTATTTACTTTATTAGATTTTGTATACTACTTTAGAATCTATTATTTTCAAGACAAACCTAACAAAGTAGTTTATATTCTATATATGAGAAGAAATTAGTAGAAATAGGACAAATTTATTAAATAAATTTGTCTTATTTCTTTTTTTTTTTTTTTTTAATATTAAAGTAACCACTTAGACCATTGGTACGAGCTTTATTCAGGTAGTTATAATATTATATCTGTTTTACGAAGATACAACTAGCTACACGTGCACCTTTTGGGTATCTAATTTAAGTAGTCTGTCTGGGTTCTATACTAGCCACCATACTTGCAATCTAACTAGGAGATTATCTATTTTAAGCTCTCTGGTTATTTCTAACAAGAGTATGACTAGCTATACATGCAACTTTTGGTTGCTTATTTAAGTAGTCTGCCCTAGATACTACACTAGCTGCCGTACCTATAACCCAACTAAGGAGTTATCTATTTAAATCTTCTGGCTACCACTTTTGTAATATGCCCTATCCTAATACTCATACAAGATTAGCAATTGCTATAAATGACCCTAAGACTTTAGCCAAACCATATTGGGGCATTTATCCTTGTGATAAACCTAACAGAATAGTACATGTCCTACTTATATATTTACCTGCATGTTCTGATAACTTTTATCTAACTAGTACCTGTTGTGCTGCTGCTATCAGGTTCGTATCTCAAGCTATTTTTTCAAATACTGCCATAACCTAATCCGTATCTCAAGCTACAACCTTCCTAATTAGAATCTCATTACATACTCCTTGCCCTTGTGAGGTTCACAACAACTCCAGTACTCACATTTTAACTTCCAATTTCCCTAAATTCTTTACCAGTCTCTTTCTTACTTCTAGCTGGCAACCCGGAAGGGTTGGTTTGTCTAGGCTTTAGGTGTCTCACAGTTGCTCTTACCTTAGTACATGCTTCTGGAGCACAAGTTTTTTCCTCTAGTTGGTGGTCTGGCGGTTTGGCTAGTATATCTCCACTTAAGGATCTGGTTGTTCAGTTCTCCGGTCTCAGTCCTCAGTTCCAAATTCAGCCTTCCTGTAGTACTATTGAAGATCACTGCTACTCTACACTTGGGACTTGCCAAACAAGTTTTCAGTAATTCCAGTTTTCTGAATTTATTGCACCAAAGCTTCTATTCAAAATGATGTAACCAAGATTATAGATATCTGGATCCAACTGATAATCTTAATATTAATGATACAGATCTAGTTTTTTTAAAATCGGCATCCATAAGATTAGAACTCTAGACCTGCTATCTGAGGGTATGACAACTCTATCACTTCACTAAGTCATCATACTCTTTGTTCTATTTCTAATAACTTCTCCTTATATATTTTTACTTGTATGTTTGGTAACTTTTTTCTAACTAGTACATATTATACTACTATACTATATTTATATTTTATACTATCTTTTAAATACTGTTATTTCATAGCTATTTAAATCACAACCTTCTTAATTAGTTGTCTATTATGTATTCTTTGCTCTTGTAAAATTTATTTAACCCTAGTACTTGTATTTGAACTTTTTTTTTTCTTGAATTCTTTATTAGTCTTTTCTTTATTTCTAGCCAACAATCTAGAAAGATTAGTTTGCCTAGGCTTTAGATTTTATAGTCTCTCTTTTTTTGGTATATACTTTTAGAGCATATGTTTTTTTTTTCTGATTTTGGCAGCTTAGTGATTTGGCTAGTATGTTCTCCTACTTAAAAACCTGGTCATTTGATTTTTTGGTCTTTTTTTTTAATTCTAAATTTAGTCTTCCTGTAGTACTATTAAAGATTATACTATTTTTTTACTTGAGACTTGCTAAATAGGTTTTTGGTTATTTTTGTTCTTTAAATTTATTGCATCAAAGCTTTTATTCTAGATAGTATAACTAAGGTCATAGATTATTAGATCTAACTAGTTAATGATAGCTATTAACTATATTATAGAGCTATTTTTTAAAAATATTGTTTGTAGAATTCAAACTCTAGATTTGCTATTTGAAGATATAACAACTTTATTACTTTACTAAGTCACTATATTTAGCTTTTTTGTATTATTATATTTAAATATATATAATAAAAAATTTTATAAAAATAAAGCAAAAGAATTATAATTTTATATATTTTTTT